AGAGCTTCAGATGTATAAACACATATATAGTAACTGTTTATTTTGTTTTCTGTGTTTTGTTGTGTTTCCAAAAATCACTTCCAAAAGTACAGGGAAGCCAGTTCTGACAACATGCAGAACAAGATATTGACTGGGAAACCTTCTTCTATCTTTCAGTACTATTCCCAGTTCTACTCAAGGGCATGATGCCATTTAATCACTCTCACAACCAACAACCAACCACCACCACCACACAAGCCACTAAGAATATCTGTGTGACAATCAGAGTAAAGGAAACTGCAAGAAACTGCAGATCTTTTAACATATAGCTCACTTCAGTATAATTGCTAAATTCAGGCTAAGTGTTTCCTGCTGAGGTTAATTCACTGACAAAGACTGTAGAACTATTATATTATTAAAACTGAAAAGGTCTGCGCTGGCAGGTAAAAATACCTGAAAATCTTTTTGCAAAAGGTTGAAAAATTAAGACAAAACTGCTAATAGATCAGAATTTTGGCATACCTATTATTATTATAAACAGCGCCCAGCTAGCACTGCTTGTTATTCAGTTGTAAATCAGGCAGTAAAACATGGATAAAAGATTAAATCAGCAGTCCCATTTTGCTCTTCAATGTTAATTTTCAGTTAACAAGTCTATGAAAATAGAAATCTGAAACCTGTAGGCATGCTTTTGAAATATTCACTACCCAATATACAATGCGTTTTGCTAACAAAGTATAGAATATAACCTTAACATGTTTTCTTAGCTGGCCTGTTGCTAAATTCAGGCAAATATTCTACAAGCCTTAGCAACAGGATTCCCAAAGAACTCAGAGTAACATAACAAGCCTGAGCATGTAGAAGCTTCAATGTTCAATATCTTCAGCAAAACCAACAGCTAGTTGGAAAAAAAAAATAATAGTAGGTATGTGATAACTAAATAAATCACTAGCAAAATTTACAGCGCATTCTGCTCAGTGTCTTCTGATCAATGGCACTGCTGCCATTAAATCATTAATCAAAGTATTATTTATTACTGTTCTTACACAAAAAGCAAATCCACACCTCCCTGTCAAAAGCCAAAGAAGAAGAAAAAAACCCAAACGTACTTTCTAGTGAAGTGAAAAGCCTGCTTCTGAGATGAATGCCCTTCGATGAAAGAAAGTCATTGATCAAGAGAAAGCACATCTTTCTTTGAGGAGGAGGAGGACCAAAATCAAGAACTTTCCTAATGTATTAGCATACAATGAAGAGAGAACAGTAGTTTGTGAAATCAGCGCTGTCAGTCTGCCATAGATCTGAACTAACATGTACAAATTTCCACCAATCCAGACAAAAATGACCGTAATTCACAGAGCAGTGATAAATAACACAAACCCATCCTCCCTTCCTCTCTTACCTCTCCCGCACAGGCTGGTAAAACAAGCCTGCTGTATTCAAATGGTAAACCTGAATTAAAGTGACAAATTTGAAGTGACAAACCTAGTAGACAGTCCTACTCTAGGAGACAAAGTCATAATTTACCAAACAAGTAAAAAAAAAAAAATTTGAAATATGCCAACAAAAGATCAGAACTCTTCAACAACTCAAACAATACATTTTCAGGGTTTTATTTCCCCATACCATATTGGCACTAGCTAAGACAATCTCAACAGAAGAGTATTGCTACTCCAATTAGAATCTGACAAGCAAAGTCTGTCCAGTAATAACATTCTCTCTTATTTTCATACAGTCAAAATTTAACTTCCTTTTTTAAGTCACCTTGTGGAAAGCCAGCTTTGGGCTTCATTTCCTTACTAAGGTAGTTAGCTACTGGGCAATGCTACAACCACTTGTACTAGAATTTGATTAAACATGGATGAAGAGTACTTACAGTTTGCTACTATGCCGTTTCTTTACAATACCTGCTATTACATATCATAATTACCTTACGTAACTGTGGTTCTTCTCATTTTAGAAAGCCTTCCAAATTTTACAGTTGTTTTATTGTTGGCTTCTTGGTTCTAAAGGGACACAGAGCAGGCTAGGAAAACCCAAGTAATGAATAAATAGCTGAGAGCTTGGTGCCTCCACAGGAACTTTGGGTTTTTTGACCACAAGTCAATTGACTTGGCACTGGTCTAATGGCTGCAGACAGGCATCACCTGTCTGCAAGAGAGAAATGGATCCTAGCTCTAAGAGCTAGCAGAGCACATTGAGAGGGCTTTAAATGAGATAGGAAGGGGGAAAGGAATACAGTGAGGCTCACTAGGGTTGAGAGAGTATTCCAGGGCTTTATACTAGTTCTGACAGGGAAAGAGAGTCAGGCAGGACAGAGAAAGGCTTAGGGTTGCCGTTGCACCAGGAGACTACAGGGAAAAACCTCTGAACTGTCCTGTAGGATCTTGCAGAGACTCCTCAAAGGAAGTAAGGTTGCCAACCCCCCATCTGAAATCTTCTTGTGTTCCTCTAGGAAGCAGTGGGGGAAAATCTCAGATTCCTCCCAGGGGTTTGAGGGATGGCCCCTCTAGAAAGGTGGCATGTCAGAAAGCCCAGCCTTTACACTAATGCATGCAGCATGGGAAATAAGCAGGATGAGTTGGAAACCATGATGTGCTTGGAAAATTACAATCCAGTTGCAATCACGGAAGCATAGTGTGACTACTCCCATAACTGGAATACCACTGTCGAGGGGTACTGCCTTTTTAAAAAGGATAGGCTGGGTAAGAAAGGGGGGGGAGTTGCCCTCTGTGTTAAGAGTGGATAGAACGTGAGGAGCTCCCTTTGAAAAATGGTGAGGAGCAGGTTGAGAGCTTGGGGGTTAGAATTAGGGATAGGGCTAATAAAGGGCACCTGATCAAGGTGAGCCTGCTGACAAGGTCTTCTTCCTTCAGCTGCAGGACGGTTCCCACTGCCAGGTACTTGTCCTGATGGGGAGATTTAAACCACCCAGATATCTACTGGGAAAACCATGTGGCTAGTTGCAATAAGTCCAGAATATTACTGGAGTCCATGGATGATAACCTTCTGGTTCAAGTACTGGACAGACTGACCAGAGGTGAAGTGCTGCTGGATCTAGTATTCACTAACAGAGGACATCATTAAAGTCATTAAGATTGGAGGCAGCCTAGGCTACAGCAAGTTGAGTTTGTGATCTCAAGGAACGTGGGCCTGGCAAAGAGTGGGGTCAGGACCCTGAATTTTGGGACAGTGAACTTTAGGCTGCAGAAGGAATTACTGGATGAGATCTCCTGGGAAGCTGTCCTTAAAGACACAAAGGAGAGGAGGAATGCTGGCCACTCTTTACAGATGCCTTTCTGGAAGCACTCTGTTCCTCTGAATAAGAAAGCAGGCAGGGGAGGCAGGAAACCAGTATGGCTTGGCAAAGATCTGCTCGTCAGGCTGAGGGAAAAAAAAGGGTTGTACTGGCTGTGGGAACAAGGGCATGTCACCTGGGGAGAATACAGGGATGCTTTCCAAACTTGCAGAGTGAGGATTAGGAAAGCCAAGGCGAAGATGGAACTGAACTTGGCTAGGGGTGTTAAAAACAAGAAGGGATTCTATAGGTAACATTGGCCAGAAAAGGCATGCCTCCTTTGGTAAATGAGAAGAGAGAACTGGCTACAACAAACATGGAAAAGGCTGAGGTATTAAATGAGCTTTTCGCCTTGGTCTTCACTGGCAGCCAGGATTCTCATGTATGTCTCACATACCTGAAGCTCACATCCTTGAGCCTCTAGGTTGGAAATGGGAGAGTAAATCCCCCCTGCTGTAAGGGCAGAGCAAGTCTGAGAGCACCTCGTGAAACTGAATGTATACAAGCCTATGGGTCTGGATGACATGCATCATCTCAGTGTCCTAAAGGAGCTGACTGATGTGGTTGCTGAGCTGTTCTCCATTGTATTTGAAAAGTCATAGCTGTTTGGGTGAAGTTCCCTAGGACAAATAAAAAGGTAACATCACTCCCATTTACAAGAAAGGAGGGAAGGAGGACTCAGGTAACTACATGCTGGGGAGCCTCACCACAGGTGATCTGAGACAGCCAGCATGGTTTTACCAAGGGAAGGTCGTGCCTGACCGATCGGGTGGCTTTCTATGGTAGAGTGACAACATTGGTTGCCTTCCCTTTGTCCACCAATGTCATCTACCTGGAATTGTGCAAGGCACTTTATATGGTCCCCCACCACATCCTTAACTCCAAATTGGAGAGGTACAGATCTGAGGGGTGGACTGTTCAGTGGATAATGAATTGGTTGGAAGGCCGTAGACAGAGGGTTGTGGTGAATGGCTCCATGTCCAGGTGGAGGCCGGTGAGGAGTGGTGTCCCACAGGGGTCTGTCTTGGGAGCAGTGCTCTTCAACATCTTCATCATCAATTACATTGACAATGGACTCAAGTGCACCCTAAGCAATTCTGACAGTGACACCAAGCTGACAGGTGCAGCTGACATGGTAGAAGGAAGGGATGCCATCCAGAAGGACCTCAACAAACTCAGATGGTGGGCCTGTGTGAACCTAATGAGGTTCAACACAACAAAATGCAAGGTTTTGCACTTGGGTTGGAGTAATCCTAAATACACATACAGGCTAGGAGAGGAAGTCCTTGAGAGCAGCCCTGTGGAGAAGGACCTGGGGGTCCTGGTGGATGAAAAACTGAATGTGAGCCAGCAGCGTGCACTTGCATCTCAGAAGGCCAATGGTATCCTGGGCTCCATCAGAAAAGGAGTGGCTGGCTTTAAATGTATGCGTTAAACAAAACAAGACCCAAACCCCATTAACTTGTTTAGATAAGAGAAACTTTAATCTAGTCTGCTACTGCCCTCTTTCAGCCTCTAATCAATAAAAGCTTGCAAAAGTCGCAGATGTAAAACAATTAGGCTACAAATCAACTCCTGACCCCTTTTTATAACAACCATTTGAAAGTCAGAAGATAAACTCACAGTTTCAGAGTTATTCTAAAACAGGAACACATAAGTATTTTAATCTAAAACCAAAACAAAACAAAACAAAAAAGACCAACAAAAACCAGTAGCAGAATCTTACCTTGATCAAATGGTTTACCCGGACTCCATGTGCGAAAATAATCATCCTGGAGAAGGAGAAACAACCTACATTTAGTAAAACATAATAAATCAGTGTGTACATCCAAAAGTCATTTGATCATAAAAGACAAGATATATACCAACCTCTACTTCCTAGAAAAGGCAAGCAGTGAAAAACAAATGAGAAAAAGATTACAGTCATCATAATGGGACAAATTACAGATACAGAATATAACAGTGTTTTTCAGAGGTCATTTGCACTCATCAAGTAAAAAGGCTACACAAACAATATTACTTGCTAACACTGAAAATAGTTATTTCTCAAAGCACTTATCTAGGATATGTTTCTAGTTCTGCTTACAAAATATTACAGTAGCTTTATTGTACTCTGAGATATTGAAGAACTTAATTACATCTTCCATTATTAATTTTTCAAACCTAAAGCTCCAACGTCACTATTAATTAAATATAATGAAATTCTAAACAATAATGAATGAATTTTAGAGAGATATTCTGTTTTACAGTTTTCAACTGTAAAATCTGCCATTAAATAATTCTAATTAACTCAATTTTCTACAAATTGTTTTCCTAAACATCAAATATCCTTTTAATTACGTGAGACTGTACTCATTTGAATTTATGAATAAATTTGGGTTCACTAACTACAGTGATCACTTAGTGTTTTATCCAGCAGTTCTATCCAACTGGCTGAAAGATCACCAAGAAACTTCAATTTACAAAAATTAGAATACTGAGAAAATGTGAGCCTCATACAGTCGTCGAAACCACATAATCACAGCTAAAAGAGTGATCAAACAGCAAGCACATTTACAAGAACAAAAAGCTCTCTGGTTTTTAGTAGGACAATAATTTTACTTCAAAGAGGGAAAAAAAGTGCTTGCATCCTAAGCTGTCTTTCACTGATTATGTTTTATTAGTAAAAACCTTTTTTACTGGAACGTCTCCTTTGAAAAACAGAGATAAATGAGCAGAATCTGGAAGTACAGCCTAGAATCAAAGTTATGAATGCATACTTGTGCATTCTTTTACTCAATGCTGCATAGATTAACAATGATAACTGTCTTTTTAATTACTATGTAAATACAAACTGCAAATAAAATAAGTATAAAACACTGGAAGAGATGAGAAGAAATCACAATTACGACAGTGTTTTCCAATTTTATTTCTCCTAATAGTAAACTACAGAGGTAGTTTGAAAAGCTTTGAGGCAGCTCTAATGTAATGCCCCTCCATGAATCATACCATACTGGTAAAACTTCCAATTCTTGCAGAAAGCATGATAGGTGAATATCTTTACTGGCTACTGTTTAATTTCTTTTTAATTTAATTTAAAATACATACATTACATTCAGTTGCATTATATAGGAATATCGGGTAGGAACAGAAAATCCTCAATTTTCTGTTATCTTCTGTGTTTTTCCAAAGCATCTAATAATAATTTTCATGTTATCTTTTATTCTCTGGAGCTCACATTTTTCTCAAAATGGCCATGCATAGTCCCCTCTCTGTTGCATCAAATATATTGGGATTTTCTACGATTTGTATATTACATACAATACAGCCGAATACTGGAGTGATAAAAAGAGATTTTTATTTTGTGTATCTTAAAGAAAGAAGTTACGATGGAAATGCTATTAAAACAGTAGAACACACCATTTTCATCATTTTTAATTCATAAACTTTGTTTAGACTAAAGAGTGCTACTGTAAGGTTTATTCAGAAAGAGCTGGATTCTCCATCAATTTCTGCTACAGCAGTAATGTTTGCCCAAAATTAACCTATTCAGATATTACTTGCAATTAAAATGCTGAAAAGTTTGCGTAAGTAGAACATAAGACTAAGAGGACAGAGGTTTCACCCATGATTTGGAACACTCTCAGATCACTTTATTAGACTTCTTACTAGCCTTCATTTTGTATCGGAAAAGACAATAAATCAATTCTTGTTAACCTTCTTCATCCCACAGGTAAATTCACAAATCCCAAATACAATCTCAGACAGATATTTCTAGAACTAAGAGCCCTAGCTGACACGTTCCTATTTACAAAAGCATTCTATGTCATTCCTGTTATCCCACTTTTCCTACTTTTTTTCCCTGACTTTTTCCATTACTCCTGCTGCTACTGAATTTTCAGCAACAATAAAATAAAAAATGTGAAGAGTAATGAAGAAAATTTGACAAATCCAATATGTGTATCCAATCACTTCTTTATTTTACAAGTGAATTAAGTATGTCATTCAAGTGTGTCACTTTGCCCTGTATCAACTGACAGAAATCAAGCCCTCAGACAAATGGTTTCTATTTGAAAATTTGAGGTCTTTTTTAATACATCGAATTAAATGTCAAGACAAACATATTTCGATATACTACACAAAAATAACACACACCTCTATGGATTTTCCTAAGGAGTTAAAATTTTCACATCATCCATTACTTAAACAAAGTCCACTACTGACTACAGTAAAACAAAACCTTCACACACCTCTATAAACAGGGAGAAGAGTCAAGTGAGTCTCATTCTTGAGTAGGGCACTTGGTTCAATAAATTGCAGTTTGATGCTTTTACAAATATTCCTAAAGCTACTTAACCCACTAAAAAAGTGGTTTCCTGTTACATTCAGACCTTTCCTGACCTTCACTAAATAAAATGTTGACTATTAAAATGTTCAATATTCTTTTTAGAGTACCATCAGAGGAATACGAATTCACAAAGCCTCATTTTTCATTACTGTAATGTAAGCTTAGTATTAAAAACTGAATGAACAAATGTACACTTAACAGTGAAAGGCAAATAGTGTTACAGTATCTAGCCAATCCTTGAACCTCGAATAAATGCAAAAAGAAACCACTCAGGAAAGAGCCTAACTTCTTATTTTCTTCAGGGACTTTCTTAGATTTGTCCTGGGCACATTCAAGGGCCTGAAGGTACTGAAGCAATATGGAATAAAGTCACAAATTTGTTACAATAACCGTAATGCTTTTCCAGTGTTACCTATGTAAAGATAGCTAGGTATTTTAAATAGGAAATTCATCCTTAGTGCTCTTCTTGAAACTATATGAAATTCATTAAAGTCTCTATCTAAAGCATACACACTGTACCAATATTAGCTATGTATCACGGGGCTAATAGCCATGTCTAAAAATTATGCACTTGTAAGAATTATGCTAAGTCAGTGTCATAATGATAGAGCATAATGGTTCATGCTACAACATATAAAGAAAAATATATGTATTACTTGGATTTACCCCAGGTATTTATATAAACTGGGAGAAGAAACCTTTGAGAGCAGCCCTGCAGAGAAGGACTTGGGGGTCCTGGTGGATGAGAAGCTGGACATGAACCAGCAGTGTGTGCCTGCAGCCTGGAAGGCCAACTGTGTGCTGGGCTGCATTAAAAAAGGGGTGGCCAGCAGGGAGAGGGAGGGAGATTTAGGTTAGATATCAGGAGGAAGTTTTTCACCCAGAGGGTGGTGAGGCACTGGAACAGGTTGCCCAAGGAGGCTGTGGATGCCCCATCCCTGGAGGCATTCAAGGCCAAAACAATGATCAACCACGACTCTGCTCCTCTGCAAAGAATGCCATTAGGTGAGACTGAGTCTCGTTGTACATTCCTTTCCTATTTTTCTGGCATCTAGCCCCTAGCAGAGCACTGGAATGACAAGTGAAAGGATGTTAGTATGTCGTTCAGTGCCAGCCTCCAGGGATGCTGCTGTCAGCTTCCTTTGCTGCTCGTGGCTTGAGGGCCATGCCACCCGCAAGGCCTGCATTCATGGGGCTGGCACAACACAATTAGAATCAGAAACTGCTTCTAGCAACTCTGGCACCAACTCCCCCGTGCTCAATGTGCATCCCGTGCTCAATGTGCATCCCGCTCCCTTTTCTCTGCCTCACACTTCTAGTACTGTTGATGAGGCTGGGCTAAGAGCCACCACTTTTCAGCCCCCCCCCCATTTCACAGATCTCATTCAGAAAGATTTCTGTGGAGGTTTCTATTTGCTACTATCAGCATTAATAACAGCAGGTTTCAACAGCACAGCTTTGTAAGCATTTGCCAGGAAATACCAAATGCTCACTATATTCACAAATGCTGAGAGATACTGGAAAACTTTTTGAAGAGGAATGAATTAATACTAAAGCTGAACCTGCTAGATTCCTATAAAAATTGGAAAGCATTATTTCTTTAAAAGTGCATATCCTAGATTACTATACATAAAAATTAAATAAATAAGAATCACATTTTCCTTATAAACACATAAAAAATTTTGGTCACACTCATCCTGCTATGCTGTCAAGATTCCATATGTGAGGAGGAGGACCTTAGATCAGATTAATTGTACTACAAGAGTAAAATCCAGAGTTGAGACAAAAGATGAAAATAGGCTACACAGCTGCCTATTTGATGTACAAACCATTGGTAACAAGAGCATAAACTTATCTCCTGAGTTCTGTATACAATGGCACAGTCTAAAGAAGAGAAGGGCAGACAATAGTGGTTTAACAATAAAGAACAGACTACACAGAGAGCTTGTATCACTTCTTTTAGGGTGGAGACAATGGACCCAACTGTTCTGCAAGAAATGGCCAAGATTACTGCGAGGTTATCACCTATGGTGAACTATATCAGGGTGTTCTCAAGAAAACAAAATCTAGCTTATTAAAAAATAAAACGTAAGAAGGTAGATCCAGGGAGCTACAAGCCAAACAGTCTCACCTCAGTCCCTGTAAAGATCAATGAAAAACATTTGCTTGGAATGCATTTCCAGGCACTTGACTTTCAAGACGAAATAGTGTAGACCTACCTACCTTCCTGTTTACATATATATTGTTGTTGTTGTTTTTCCTCAAGGTTATTCACAGTATATGCAAACTGTTCTTTGATTCAAAACAGGGACTGTCTCTCTCAAGAGTTATGATTTTAACTTATCAATAAAATCACCAAGTTCAAAGCCTTTTTATGCCCTCTTGCCCCTATTGGTCCTTTTCCAATTATGCTATGTAAAGACACCTCAATACAAAAGCTTAAAA